GAAATCGTAATAAAGTTATTTTATATTATTATCACAAAAATTTTTGATTTATTATTATGTCCAAACGGTAGATCGACTCATTGACCTACTAAATATAAAAAATTTTTATCACTCAAAATATCATCACTCAAAAAGCGATCAATAATATCACTCAAAAGACGATCAAAATCCACTTGCAAATTATACATAATTATGCGCAAACCCAGTGAAAAAAAAGGCTTTTCCCCCATGGATTCCATGTGGGTTCCGTGTGGAATTCATGGGATCCCACATGAAACCCATGTGGGACAAGCATTTCTTTTTCGTGCGAAAACGTTGATCTAGTAAAAAAAGTCACGTTCCCCATTTTAATCCTTTTTTAGCAAAACATATTTAGAATTTTGGCAATAAAGAAAAAGGTTCAACATCGTACCTATCTTTTAATATAAATGAGCAGTTCGTTGGTAGATAATGGCGGACAACAAGTGATAAAAAAAAATGAATTTAGTTTTTTTTCTATCAGTATTAATTCTACTTCTGATATTAGCCATCTAGATTAACTGTATTCCTTTTTTGGTATGTTCAAAAATATGACTGTACGGTCGAAAGATTTTTAGGATTTTTATATTTGCTATATTTTTTGTTTTAGAATCGCATGGATTCGATATAAACAATTGTTGCAATCAATGTTACGACAATGCGTCTAACATGATTAGTTGATATACATGTTTTCAAGCTCGCATTAAAGAAGTTAATCTTTTAGTTACATTTATACCATGCTTGGCACACTTTAAATCTTGTCGGTGAATGTGCTGTGGACTGTTATAGAAATAATTCTGAATTTTTTGTTCTGCTTCAAAATATGTATTAGTTTTTTAGTACTTCTACATTTAGATGAGTTCAGAACAGTTAAATTAAAACAGAAAACTTATTACTTTAAAAACAGATACAAGGTAGTCAGCAAGATCTGATGCATGTATTAGTTTAAATAAAAATTGGAATAAATTAATTAATGCACTTTCTTTTATTAAAGAGGATAAATCATAAAGGTCAATCACAAGATCAGAAGCTAATGAAATTAGACAGTCTTGAAACAGCTGTAATGGCCACATTATGGGGTGAAAACTAGTAAACTATTGCAGTCAGTTAAGATTTAAAACAGTTGTAAGTTTACGAATCATTAATTCGATACGTTTTAAAGAGAGGAGAAGAAGAAGAAGGAGAAGAAGAAGAAGAAGAAGAAGAAGAAGAAGAAGAAGAAAAAGAAGGAGAAGAAGAAGAAGAAGAAGAAGAAGAAGAAGAAGAAGGAGAAGAAGAAGAAGAAGAAGAAGAAGAAGAAGGAGGAGAAGAAGAAGAAGAAGAAGAAGAAGAAGAAGAAGAAGGAGAAGAAGAAGAAGAAGAAGAAGAAGAAGGAGAAGAAGAAGAAGAAGAAGAAGAAGAAGAAGAAGAAGAAGAAGAAGAAGAAGAAGAAGAAGAAGAATTAATAAATCGGGACACAAAATATATCGAAAAATACGCAAAAGAAAAAGAAAATTAACTGCAAATAAAAAATGAGAAGGAAAAGTAAACTTTAAAATTTGAGACTTTTTAAGGATTAACACATATTATGCTAATATCGATAAGCTACATTTTGAATTTGAAGGAAGGCAATTGTTCTTTGATGAAGCCAATAAAAAATTTGACTTTTTGTTTCAAATAATAAAACTATCAGAAGTTTACAAAAAAGAAGTAATACTTCAAAAAATATATAAAAATGATCTTTTGTCTTCATTTGCTAACGAGTGCATACAATTCAGAAGTTATTTAATGATTTTAACTGAAAACATAAGACATAAAACTATAGTAGATAATTTTGAAATAATCAGAACTGATAAACTTCAAGAGCAATATAACTCTCCTTAATTCTATATCTACTATAAGTAGATATAGCATTAAGAATATATCTATACTGCCTAACGTACAATTGTTCAGCCGAGAGATCATTTTCAGGATTAAAGAGGATTAAATTTTATTTAAGGTTGGGAATGTATGGTCATCCTTTTAATAGGTTAGCAATTCTATTTATTGATTCTGCACTGACCATACATATTAACTTTAATGACATCATAATACATTTGCAAAACAAAACTCACTTAGAAAATTATATATATTTTTTTAAATTTTAGTGAGTTTAACTTAATATATATTGTTGTACTAAAAATGTTTTTGTTTTTTAATAATAACTTCATATTAAAGTTGACAGTTATTTGTAAAAGAGGGTGCTCAAACAATTAGTGCCCCTGGCTGCAAAAAATTTAAATACGTCTCTGCCTCCAGTTAAAAAAGATTTTTTTATTTACCGCTCTAAACAAAAAGCAACTTTATTTACTCTAAACAAGAAGCGATATTTTTTTTTTTTTATAACTGTTTGTATAAAGGAAATAAAATTTAAATTTAATTCACTTCAACGGTTAAACTAAAAAAAACTATTTTTATACGCGATATTGAAATAATTAACTTTTTATTTTTAGATTTAGTTTTATTTTTGGGTACGTCTACAGACGTACTAGACGTACCCTAGATCCGCCCCTGAGTGGACCAAAATTAGGGGGCCTATTTGCAAATTTAAGGACCTTTTTTACTTCTTTTTGTAATACCTAGTGAAAACGTCTTTAAGATTTTGGGGCCCTCATGACAAATTTTCAAGGCGACCTCCAACTCACTAGCCACGGTACTGGTCATAGCACTCATCCTTGTTGCACTGGCACTATTCATGATTTCCTCCATTCTGATTTATTATTTCCTATCAACACTCTTTTTAGTCTGTTCTTTAAAAATCCCTATCACCAGTCCAAAAATTTTAATAAAAAACCAAGACAAGCCAGTTTTAGCAACAATCTTTTGTAATCAACTGAATCAAACACTTTAGCAAAGTCTAGGAATAAAATGACCTATAAAACGATTGCTTAACAACTATCTATTAAACTTGTAATGAAATTTAGAGATTTCTATAAGTTAATCGCATATCTTTTATTTATAATTAAAAATAAATTTCTTTATATATCTTTTATTTATGATATATATCTATATATGCTATATTTATATATATATATTTCATATATATCGAATATATATATATATATAATATATATATATATACTTATATATATATATATATATATATATATATATATATATATATATATATATATATATATATATATATATATATATATATATATATATATATATATATATATATATATATATATATAAAAGATATGCTATATATATATATAAAAGATATAAGTTAATCATAAATAAAAGATATATAAAAGATATCATAAATAAAAGATATAATAATAATCGATTTCCATAAGTTAATCGCACATCTTTTATTATTAAAGAATCCATATTAGTTTTTATTGATTAACTTGTTTTCTACTAAATATTTCATAACTTTGTCTTTGATCAAACAACTATAAATGTTAAAGATACAGGTCTATAGTAGATTGTTTCTTATTTGTGACCATTTTTAAACATTGAAATAAATAAAAATTAGTACACAAACCATGTGAGTTTACTTGTTTCAAATGAAATTTTATTACTACACGCTAATAATATTTTTTTAGTGATTTAACTAGAACTTTTAAAATCTTTGGGAGAACTTTGTCTGTTTTATTGTCTTTATTAATGTCCAACATGCCTTAGTACGACAACGGATTCAGCATCCGGATTTCTACAGATTTTTATTGTTTCTTTACCTGTGATTGAAACAGATAAAGTTCGTGGTTTATTGAATACCAATGCAAAATATCCATTCAATGTATTCTCAATAACTTTTAAATAAGTTTCAATACCATTTTTCAGTTGAATTGCTTTTATGTTGTATTTGACTTTACTTTTATTAATAATATATGCATAAACTTTCCTAGGGTTTCCTTTGTTTCACTATTTTTTTAAATCCTGTTTAACTTTTTATACTTCGCAAGTAAATGAATGTCTTATCTTCTTCTTTCTACATAAAACAATTTCTTACAACAACGTTTTTAAGTCTTTACTTATCCATAGAAAACTTGTGTTGTTTTATACTCCTCAGTTTAATGATTTGAATAAAGATTTTCTACCCTTCTTTAAACGACTCATTTTTGTAACACTTGTTACATAAAAAAAAAATTAGTTCATCAAATTTCACCTAAATCAGATGGAATTCGCAAGGTGTTTCCGTCGGGTTTAAAATTGGGGTGTAGGATCCAAAATGTAGCAACTGAGCTGGTGGATTTTCAAACACCCTTTTTGAACGAGCGTGACAAGGAGCATTTTCTGCTACGACAACAAAATCCTTTAAACGATTTCCGGTTTTATATTTGATACCTAAAGTTTGCACCAGACCACCCAACCTTCATTTTACTTAGCACACTCTGATACTCTTCTTCTGTCATTTGATGAAAATAAAACGTAACGCATTTTTTCAACTTACTCGGTTGTATTTATTTCATGCCGAAAAATTGGACAAGTAGAATCTGGTTGTTCTAGAAGTGGATTTAAACAAATTTAGTGAAATTAGTATTGACACGTATTTAGTTTAATAATATACTATCGGGTTAAAGTTCAGATTAAAAACAACAATCTTTCAGTTCCATTATTATTTTACTGGTGCATACAAATGGTGCATACAAATGCTAAACTTGATTTTATTAACTTATAAGCCTATAAGCTTACATTGTGCAATTGCTAAAGGTTTGTTTAATAACTAATTAAGAGCAAACGAAAAAACATTTTTCTGGCAGAGTCCTTCATATTTTATGGACCTGCGTGTCCTTTAGAACAGGTATCACTGTTCTAATAAATTTTAATCTAATCTAGTTACATCCCTTATTTTATTTTACCCTGTTTATTCTTTTTTTTTTTTTTTTACTGAAAAAATTTTAGGTAATAAAAAAAAAAAAAATTTCATTTTGCCCTTGCCATTTGTATTTTTTTTTTTGAAAAATTTAATGGTATTTATATATTTATTTAGTTTTGTGTTTTAAGAGCCACAGTTACCACAAAAGGTTTTTATTTTAAAGTGAGAGATTATTACATTTTAAGTAGACAAAGTCTTGCTTTTCAAGATAACATAGTCTTGCTTTATGAAGCGCTCAAGCCGTTAAACCACCATGCTGAGTTTAATCGTACCATCAATTTTACTAACGTTTCTGGTTCTGACATAAATCATACAAGCTTTTTAAAGAGTTTTTTTATTAATACTATTTTTTTTAAACTGTAGTGTAGGTTGCTTTGTGCTGACCAGTAGTGTGGGCTGCGTTTTGCCAATCTGAAACAAAAAAAGAACACTTATAAATATTATAGTTTGTAAGCAATTTCCTTTAAAAAAATCAAATTAGTTAAATATGATATTATAAATTTATATTACATTTATCATAAGTTATACATGTTGTGCATCGTAAAAATTTATAAAAATTTCGAGAAAAAAATATACTATAGTAGGTCAAACTTTACTAAAAACTTTTAGTGCCGTGAAATTTAACTAATTTACAACATTTTTAATACTTATCAAGTTCGTTAAATACTTTAAAGCCGGGGAAAGGAACTTGTTACCCCTGCACGTTAAAAATACAAGAAGGTTTGATAGCAGTCATACAATCATCATCCCCTTTAATAAGTATGCCTACTTTTAAAAAAGATTTGACACTTGTTTACCATTTTTGGAATTCTTAATTACTATTCTCTCAAATGCTAACGCTAAGTAATGCTAAAAAAGCGTGCCTCATGTGACAAACCTAAAAAAGAATCTTTTTCCCGTTCCAAAGCTCACTTTTCTAATCCTTTAAAAAGTTGTCATGATTTACATAAAAAATTGATTTGACAAATACTAAATTGCATCCAAAAAATTCGTTTAAAAACTATGCTTATTTAAATTTGTAAGGAAAATTGTTTTTAAACTTTTGATGGGTGTAAATTTCAAACGACAAAAGATATTTTAATGAAATTTTAAATTATTTAATTTTTTTTTTGTTTTTAAAAAAGTTAAGAATCTTTATTTTTCATGTATAAAATATTAAATAATGAAATGACGTATTAAATAATGAAATGACGTGTATAACCTTTACTGTTATTGCCGTTACGGTACCGTCATACCGTCGTATATATTTTACTTTAATTAGATCAAATGAATTTTGATCAAAAATTTGTAATTGATAAAAGTTTTGTTTAGACACTTACTTTTATTTATTTGGTGTTTATTTATTTTATTTGTTTTTTTCATAAGATTTGTCTTTGCAAAAGTTTATGACATTGACTATGAAGCGCCATGATGAAACGCAGAAATATCCTTCTATGAGGAAACTCATTGAAATTCGGGTATTTTTTTTTTTTTTTCAATATATCCAGAACATCCATTTTTCTACAATATAATAAAAAGAGATTTTCATAAGACAAAACAAAAAAAAATTTAAATCGCCATAAAATATAGATAAGTAATTTTTTACATACATACAAAACATTAAATTATTTAAAAAAAAAATAGCTACACAACCTGAATTTTTTTGTACTTTTAATCTACGAAAAACAAAAGTAGTCTCATATCGACAAAATTTACTGAGCAACAAAAATTTTAAAAACGAAAAAATTGTCATTATTTTTGATTTTGTTAAGTAAAACTACATGAAGTGTACCGCCCACCAAATTAAAGTATTTTAAGTTTTGTCACAATATTTTTTTACGTTTGCGTAAAATTCATTAATAAACAAATAAATAAATAGCACATTTATATATTACATAAAGTTTTTGAAAACCACAGTAAACACCATTTTTATTGGCATTATGTTAAAATCCAATAGGACAGCTACTTATCTAAAACCCTTATTCATTCATTATTTCAATAAGCTTTGGTAGATAGTTTTCGCGCCAAACTTTTCCAGATTCGACTGCTTGTTTTAGTGCATCATTTTGAAAACCACTCTTGTATGCATTTTCTATTATTTCTACGAGGGCGTTTGGCGCAACCTTTACTCTAAGTAACGCGCGAACACATTCAGTCAAAGGATCAGGTCTACCAATTATTCTGTTTCCAGACAGTAATGTATTATCGCAGTTTAATCCGCACACTTTTATTTTATTTTCAAGCATATATTTTATTGGATGATCTGCATATCCAGTACATCGATCAGGGTTACCGCAGTTTTCTGTTAAACATACCTCAACACCTATATCTTTTAAAAGTACATCATTAATTAAGTTTTCTGGAGAATTTTTTAAGTCTAAACCATGACCTATTCTATGTACACCAATATCTACTGCTAGACGAAGATTATCTTGTACTGTTGGATAATCCAGAGAACTCCACTCACCGGCATGAACAGTTATAAAACATCCTTGATTTTTTGCTTCTCTCAAAACTCCTTCAAACAACAATAATGGATAGCTGCCTTCGTCTCCAGCAATGTCAAACCCAAGAGCGTTTGTCTCTAGAACAAGTTTTAACACATTTTTAGCATCTTCAACCGAATGAGAACGCAAAGCGCACAGTATTAATCCTCCATTCAAATGAACGCCAATGTTAGAAAGATCTTTTTTTGCAGATTCAAATCCATCCAGAGTACTTGTAACTACTTCTTTATCGGACAACCCGCATAAGTTATGTAGTTTAGGAGCAAAACGAATTTCTATGTAGTTTACCCCATATTCTCGATGTTGTCTCATAACAAGATCGTATACAGCTTCCTTCAAGTCCAACTTTGTTTGAAGGAACTGATTGCAAAAGTCAAACATTTTCCAGTTTCCATTTCCAGATACAATATCTCCTTGTATGTGTTGCACCTCTTTTAAGGACCAGAGGTAATTGCTAATTTCGTTCTCGGATAAATTTTCAATATTTAAAGGAAACAGCGAAGCAAATCTTTCGGGTTCTTGTAATTTCATTCTTTTAGCAGAAGACTTTATAAAATCGAATGAAAGCGATCCATCTAAATGTATGTGCAATTGAGGCTTTGGAGCAGTTTTTAAAAGATTTCGAACTGCAAGTTCCTTTTCTTCTGCAGAGGTTGCCATGGTTAAATTTAATTCTAAAGTTTTAAAAGTAATAAGTTTAAAATTTTACAAACTGTTAAACTAAAAAAATTCTATGATATCTGAAACCAAATTCAGCAATGTAAGTGTTTTCTTTTCTAATCTTCTTGTCACGCTTGTCTATGGTCTTATTTAAGATCATTTAAAGAATAGTATATATAATCAATCGGAAACAATAAACAAAAGAAGATTGTTTAATATAAAATACAGAGATTATTGAATGTAAAAACTTAATAACTTCTATGGTTATAATAAAAATGTAGTATTGTTAAATGTAATTGAATTAATTCAAATTGTTGTTCAAAATCGTGTTCCTGATAATTTAAATAATATTGTTTTCTGTTGATGTTATTGTTATTGTTATGTTTTTTTATTTTTATTTTGCTGTCGTTGTTGCTTTTGCTGTTGTTGCTATTGTTATTGTTGCTGTTGCTGTTGTTGCTGTTATTGTTGTTGCTTTTGTTGTTGTTGTTGTTGTTGTTGTTGTTGTTGTTGTTGTTGTTGTTGTTGTTGTTGTTGTTGTTGTTGTTGTTGTTGTTGTTGTTGTTGTTATTGTTGTTGTTGTTATGTTATGTTATTGTTGTTACTGTTTTAATAAAGTATAAATAATTAACAAATTCCATTTTTGAACTTTTTTGAAGTTTTTGTTTCATAAGCACAAGTTAAAAAATACGCATATACATCATTTGCAGCGTCTTAACCACTTTTTTTTATTATCTTTGTTTATTTAAACCCATTTTTCTTTTTTTTATACCCGATCAATTCGTTATATTTTTTATACCCGATCAATTCGTAATTCTTAAAAATAGTTATGTCACTTATAGAAGGGCTTTAAAGGTCATACAAAAAGCAAATAAAATTGGTTAATCTTGTGCATACAATTTGAGAAAAAAAAAAGTTGTTAATTATATAAATGACGTACTGTTCTAATGATTTAAATCTGAAATGCAGTTTTTTCTCAAATTTTGAATCAAACTCTCATTACAGCTTATATCAGCAGCTAAGTTTCATGAATTAGGCTGACACATTTTTTATTATAATAAATTAAAGGTTTATTTACTTTTATGTTAAGTATAAACCTACTAGATATACCTAGATATTAGGTAAACATTAACATTTTAAATAAACAGTTATTTATTTGCAAACTTTTTGATAATAGATGTAATTTCTTTTTATCTTAATCGGTTTCATTGCAACTTTAAAGCATATTTATTTGTGGATTTAAATAATTATTGAGATTGCAGATGAAATTTTATTTTGACAAACTTGTTGGAAGCAGAATCAAAAAATGAAACTGATTTTTTGATTCATTTTAGATTCCGTCTAAATATAATAATTTAAAACTTCCGAAAAGTATGCGAAAAGAGTGCAAAACATTCAATATCGGTAAACAAGTAAACCACTTTCAAGTTTCTTAAAATATCACCGTTTCTTTATTTTATTTTTTTTTTGAGCTTTATTAATATTTGTTAACTTTATAATCGCTCTTATATTGTATTTTCGGACTTTGCTAATCTGTCATATGACCTTAATAGTTTTTATATTCTGTTTACCTAGTTTAATACCAATATGAAAATATAGTTTTATACTGAGAATAAATATGCAACAGTCAAAATATATATATATATATATATATATATATATATATATATATATATATATATATATATATATATATATATAATAACATAAAACCGTTTTATAAAATATATATATATATATACATATATATATATATATATATATATATATATATATATATATATATATATATATATATATATATATATATATATATATATATATATATATATATATATATATATATATATATATATATATATATATATATATTAGTGATGTGCCATCGGCTAAGGCCGATTAAGACTAATAATAGGGTTTAATGTATGTTTATAAAGATAATACCCTAATATTAGGTATGCAATTTGTATATATAAGGTATGCCTATGCACCAGTTTGATTTGGCTTATTATCCAATACTGATACATTGGCAAATGCTGATTAATCAACCGATGCCATCAGCCGGTTAATCGGCCAATGGTTAAGCCGATTAATTGGTTGCTGGTTACTAATAGCATAGGCTAATAGGTCGAATCACTTCTGATAAATAGGTACATATTGAATATGTAATTTAAACCTTTAATATAATTATAATACCCTTAAATAAATACATTAAACCTATTATTAGCCTTAATCGGCCTTAGCCGATGGCACATCACTAATATATATATATATATATATATATATATATATATATATATATATATATATATATATATATATATATATATATATATATATATATATATATATATATATATATATATATATATATATATATATATATATATATGTATATATATATATATATATATATATATATATATATATATTTTATAAAACGATTATTATTTTCGAATTTTTTATAAAATTTCGCTTCTTTTGAATACCAGGTTGACCTACTTTTGGAAAATTTTTTTTCTCCAAAATATTAGGGTACCGGTAATTTTCCCAATAAAGTTGTGCATGGTAGTCAAAAAGTTTTTTCTATAAACTGTAGTTTTAAAGAGACCGCTAATAAACCAGAAAAAGTTTAAAAGCTTGAATAAAGTTTGCTTTTTTAAATGACTGATTGCTTGCCCAAACCAAATCCTCAGTCGATGTTGCGACACTTCTTTGTAGCAACATGCTATAAGATAGTCGATGTAGCAGTAGGCTTTAAGATAGTCGATGTAGCAGCACTACATTGTAGCAGTAGGCTATTAATTTTTTTTTTAGCTTATTTTAGGTGCTCCCTGAAGTCTATCACGGAGCACCGCGGGAGAGTATTTAACTAGAAGTTCACGCCTCCTTCCTTACCAATGTCGCTTATTGGGCTAGAGCCAGCGTCAAACCGCGTTAAAACAACCGCCTTTTTGTTAAAAACCATCTTTTTGTTAAAAATAAACTTTTCAATTTTTTTTTTTACTTTTTTTTTTTTTTTCATATTTATTTTTATTGTTTAGAAAAAAGATTATTACAAAGAAAAATGAGCTTACATTTTTCTTTGCAATAGTTAATCTATTTTTTTTCAACGATTTACTTTGAGAATGAAAATATAATAAAATAGTTAACACCAGTCAAAATGTCAGATCTAAATTTTATAGTTTAGTAAAATATTAATTAAATTATTACATTACTATCAATCTCCTAGACCTTGTTTTGTTTAAGCTAGACAAGCTAAAAACAAATAATTGATATTGTACATCAATTACTTTTTTTGTTAATTTATGATTTTTTGTGCTTCTTTATCTAGTTTCTATTTTTACCAAAGATACTTTCTTTCTTAGTCATTTTTGCGAAATCCTCTATCAAAAGAATTTAATTTAAAACAATTTTAAAACCTTAATTGAGTTAACTAATCTTTACTGAATTGAAACTTTAGAAGTTTTACTCAAATTTTTATTTACGTGAATAAAAACTTAAATTTTTTTAAATTTTTATTTACGTGAATAAAAACTTTACTCAAATTTTTATTTACGTAAATAAAAACTTTAGAAGTTGTACTCAAATTTTTATTCACGTAAAATTAAGCAATTTACTCAGTAATTGCTCAGCTTTACGCAAATAAAACCTTGAGGCAAATTCCTCTAGTTTTTATTCACGTAAACCTGACTATTTACTAAGTAAAAGCAACCGCTTTTTTTATTCACCCCACGGCTGTTAAGGTGAGTTTCCACTCATCCGTTTTTTCACGGGAACGGGAAAAATAATCGCGTGAGCATGCGTATTATAAGTTTTAATTTGTCCGAAGTAAAACTACGCATGCTCACGTGATTATTTTTCCTTTTCCTATCCCGTTCCCATAGAAAAACGGATGAGTGGAAACTCACCTTTACACTGTCACTAATACTCAGTATATGAAAGAATTTTTACTGCGAATTGCAAATAATAAATTATCTCAAGAAATATACAACTTTTTTTTATTCTGTAAAAAGTATTATTTATATAACACATAAGTACAGTAGAAAAGTATTATATTAAGTACTTTAAAAAGTTTTCACTAGAATCATTCCTATTACTTTAGAAAAAAAATGTTCAAAAATTTTTATTTTTAATTTTGAACAGAATATTTCCTTAAGTATTACTAGTAATAGAGAGTATACTCTCAATCTCTCAAGATATACAACTTATAAAACAACTTTTTTTTATTCTATAAAAGTTATTATATAAACAATACTTTAGAGAAATTGAAAAAAATTATATTGAGTAATTAAAAAAAGTTTTACTCGAATCGTAACTATTACTTTCGAAAAAGCAAATTCAAGTTTGTTTTTTTTAATTTTGAACAGCATTTTTTTTTTTTAAATAAAGCTCAATATTAAATCATTGTGTAAGTTCTTACAGACAGTAACAACTTACACAATGAGAAAATGTTGTGCTTTGATGAGAAAATATACAGTGGCAGGTCACGGTAACTTGCAGTGGCGCGCCACTTAAACAACTTACGTAATGGGGAAATGATGTAGCGATAATATTTGCACTCAGGGCAAAAATGTAAAAAAGCGCCTTTTCTACAATAAAACTAAAATATATTGCTTTTTTATAGTAAAATAAACTTTTTTTTTTGCTTTTTGTTTTTTTTGGAACTCCTTTAAGCCTTCGAGCCCGGGGGCAATTTCCAACTCGGCTCCCTGCTACATTACTGAGTTGGTAAAAACAAATAGCAGATACTCAAACAAAAAATTAGAAACATTTTCCTCGCCGATTGTTCACTTAATACAATTTAATGATAAAAAAATGCTACAGAACAAAATTTTATTACAGGCAAGTTGTTTTTGTTAATTGTTTGTTTTGTTTTTCTTTTAGTTATATATTAAGTACAAACGAGGCGTAATCGTTTACGATTTGCCTTCTTTACTCTTTATGGAATAACTGAGTGTTTGAATAAACAAATTTTCTGTAAAAAAAAAAAGTTTAGTATTGTAAAATTACAAAAAAAGCGTTGAGAATTTTTTTCAAAATGAAACTTACAACATCTTATTTCGCTTATAAACGCGAGCAACTAAACATATAATTTTTTTATATAATACGAGGCAACTTATTGATAAATTTGTATTTGAATCCGCTGTTCGGTGCGTTACGCTATTGAAAAGTTATAAGGAAGTATTGAGGATTTTGAAAAATGTTGTGTGGTGTTCTTAACGATTTAAGTAGCGGATTTCAACAAACATATTGCAAAGCCTTTAAAACACAACGCATAAAAATTATGTCAAAAGCTTTTGTAGTTATCACGCGAAATGCATTTGTATATAGCTCATTTTCTAGCTCTTTTATAAAAAGTTTTATTTTACCAGTAAAATATTGATTTTGATTGTCAAAATAATGAAAGTTATTTCACTTGAAAAAAAATTATTTATTTATTAATATTGTTTGGTTATTTAACTGCCCATTAAAAAAATAATGAAGACTATTGAAGAAATATATTTTAAGATATAAAAGATTAAAATCTTAGGTTAAACGAAAATATGCGCAAAACTTCTGTTTAATTTGATTTTCAAGCTGAGCGCAAGTGACAAAAATACCCTTTGAAACAGCCGGGTATCCTGCCTAAGGTTACAAAAATCTAATCCTTTTGACATTACATTTTTTAGAAAAGAGAGAAAAAAAAAAGTTATTTTAATTTATTTTATACTTAGCAAATAATCTGTTTTTAATAAAAAAAATCATTTTCATTTTTATTTGTTTACTACCATGTGGTTATGAATATAACTATAAAATCGTTTTTATGAATATTCTATAGTAAAATAAAAAGGAAGAATTTTAGTTGTTTAATATATAAACAAACAAAAAAGTTATTGTTATTATTATTACTATTATTTGGCTTGTTTGTTTATTGTAAATACACAAACACAACTAACTAAAACTTGTGATTTTAGTAAATACTTTTTGTATATACTTTTTGTAAATAGAACTGATTGCTTTAAGAAGACAAATTAAATGGAAAATACCTTTATAGCATTACTTTTCTATCCTCTGATTCTGGTCAAGAAAATAATTAAGCATATAAAATCATGATTGTTTTTTGTTTCTTTTTACTGTATATAAATATATATATATATATATATCGCAACTGAATATAATGCGAAAATATTATTACGAAACAGAATAGATTTCAACAAATCTGTTTAAAAAAAATTCATTATGAAGATTTAAAATCTGAATACATAATAATAAATAATAAATGAATGAAATTCTCTGTATTAAATACGAAGTTAGTACTAAGTACGTAAGTAGTACTTTGTACTAAGTTTTAAGAACTAAGTTTTAAGAACTAAGTTTTAAGTAATAAATATTTAAGTATTTATTAATTAAGTTATAAATACTTAAATAATACTGTGTACTAAGCTTATAGTTTTACATTTTTTACTTTATATTGATTGAGTCAGTGGCAGATTAAGACTTCTTGGGGCCTGGGGCTATTTTTGTTTTTGGAGGCCTTTTTATGGACTAGAGCCTAAAAATGACTAAAAAAAAAACAACCAAAAAAAACAAAAAAACCAAAAAAAAGTCCTCTGAAATTTTTGGGGGCTCCTAAATTTGCGGGGTCCGCGATTATAGTCCCCCCTAACCCCCTTGATCCGGCTCTGGATTGAGTGTTTGTAAGTACTTACGTACGTTAACGTATGTTAGATAATCTAACGTTTTTACTTAAGTAAAAACGTTAGATTATCTAACATACTATATAATATTAACTGAATACCCAGTGGACATGCATTGTCCGGGGGACGTCTGCGGGACGTCTCACTGACGTGTAGACGTCCATAAAACGCCCGATGGAAGTCCCCCGGACGACGTATGTCTTCTGCGTACTAGTAACGTAACGTCATCATAACGCTGTATTAAAAATGAAACTATGTAGCGTTCGCGATTTAACAATAAAAGCGGCAGTATCGCTTAATTAAGTTCAATTTAACGAAAAAAAAAACTTAAAAAATATAAGTTAAAAAAAATCTTTGTACAAGTAAACTTAAATCATTATAAATAATTATACTCTTACTAAGAAATCCAAAAAATGTGTGAAAATATCTTATTATTATTACAAGTTCCAAGAAAGATAGTAAAAATTCTTACAAATAATATGCATAATGCAATGAATATTTTCAGTTCAATTTTAATTTTTTACAAAATATTTTAAAATTTTGACTAGTTAATATTACTTATTTTAAGTAATTTGTATTTAAAAAAATGAAAATTTTAATCTTATTATTTTAAGTAGGGAGTTTAGACAACTTTTTTACCAAATGTAAATATTTTTTATTTTAATTACATTGGATTCCTTAATATACTTCATTTCCAAAAAGGTTTCAACCACTTCTGTAGCTTATATAGTTACAAAAATATACCTATTTTAACATTTTCAATTCATAGACTTTTTAGGAAATATTTTCTTTAAGTATATCGTTAAATTTTTGGCAACAAAAAAAAAAAATTTTTATAATCTTTTTTTTTTCTTGCGCGTTAACAAACTTTTAATAAAATTTTATTAGTAATTTATTAACAATTTATAAATATAATTTTTTTTAACAGTGAAATATGTTTTAAACTTTTTTTTAACATAACTTAAATTTTTAGATGTTTCAATTTAACGTTAAGCGTAACAAAACTTTGTGTAGAAATATTAATTTAAATTAACTTTTATTTGAACATTCTTTAAGGTCCCCATCAAATTTGAAACCTTTTTTAGAAAAATCAATTATATAATAATATAATTACGATTTTTTTTTTTTTTTGATCAATAAATATGTAAAAATGTGTGTACTTTGGCCATAATAGGTTTTTGAGGTCCTTAACAACGCCATAGCAACGGATTTTTAAACAAGCAAGTTTCAACTCGTTCAAACTTCTAAGCATTAATATCTTATTTCTACAGCTTCTTATTTATTATGTGCTTTATAGTTAAGTGGAAGTTTTTAATTGGGTCATGCTTCTTTTTGTAATATAACAAACCTTTTCTTTGTTTTTTGTATTTATCTCAAAACTTTTAGATTGGGACCATATGCAAACTTGAAATTTTCATGGGTGCTTTTTTTATTGTTCGACTTAGGAACCAGAATTACAAATTAATATGAACCAGAATTACAAATTAATATGAACCAGAATTACAAATTAATATGATGTCAAAATATGTTTAATACGTTTTTTTCTTGCTTTTTTGTTAAAAGGTTTTATAAACCTATTAAAAGTTACTTTTAAAATGTTCTATGCATATTCAATGCATGATTCTGGTTCATAAAATATCGATTGAAAAACGTGGCCCCAAACTAAACATGTGAAAATGTTGAAACGTACAAAATAAGGACTAATCTAGATTTATTTTCACACACAAAAAAAAATTTATATATATATATATATATATATATATATATTCATATATATATATATATATATATATATATATATATATATATATATATATATATATATATATATATTTATACATATATATTCATATATATATATATATATATATATATATATATATATATATATATATATATATATATATATATATATATATATATATATATATGTATATATATATATAAATATATATATATATATATATATATATATATATATATATATATATATATATATATATATATATATATATATGAATATATATGTAGGAATATATATGTAGGAATATATATATATATATATATATATATATATATATATATATATATATATATATATATATATATATATATGAATATATATATATATATATATTCAGTCAGGTCAGGTTTATCCTGCTACTGGTAACATGTAACCCAGTACAATCTGCTTCATGTCCTGCTGCCTTGTAGGATATGCCTTTTTAGGCAAAGGCTAGGAGATGCAAACTCCGACATAAAACACCCCCTGCCTTGGGGCTCTTGGTTGAGTAAAGGCGAGAGATGGTGTCTCGATAAAAATACTCATCTTGGGCAGATGTTACATGCATCCGGCTGCTGTCTTGTAGAAGGCCTCCTAGGCAAAGACTTAAGGGGTAAACAGATTCTATCTGTTGCCCAGCCTCGCACCCCTTCGTCATCTAATAGGCTGGCGCAGATGTATTTTTAATACATTGTTTCCAGTTAAGGATGTTGAACGCTGGATCTTCTTGACTCGTTTCATAGGTTTTGCTTGCGTCTCTGTTTTTATGACTAGGCAACTCATTCCATTATCTCCAAATGAGGGTACAGCTCTAAAACTCAGTTTTATGGTTCTGAGGCTGGCTGGTAGTCAGGTTTCCCGAACTCTGTGGTAGCTCTCAGAGAGGCTGATTCCATCAACAGCTGAAAAATATCAGAGTACTAACAGTGCCATGTTGCGCATGGATGGTGTCCCTGTTTGTACTTTTGGTGTGCATTGCCAAGGCCACATTGGAGCCCTTTGTTACGGCTTAGGGTTTATTAGTGGAAATGAGGCAATTGCTTGAGCTATAGAACAGTGTACTGAGTACTATCAATGTTTCGAGTCAAGTTCTTTAACAAATTTAAAAATGAATAAAGTAACAAAAACTATAAAACACAAAAAACCACAGTCATCACCAAGTTCGCTAAACCTATCATTCACCAATATTCGTGGTCTTCGAAGTAACTTTTCTTCTGTTGAGTCTTATCTCTTGCAAAGTTCACCAGACCTGCTTGCTCTTTGTGAGACTAATTTGAGTTCAGCTGTCTCATCTTGTGATCTTAGTGTTGATGGTTATCTTCCTTTAATTCGTAAAGACTCTAATAGTCACATGCTTGGCCTGGGCATTTACATTCGTAAGAATTCACCCATTTGTCGAGAAACTAGGTTTGAATCCACAGACTACTCTTTTATGTGCTTTCGTTTAGCACCACTTTACTCTATCACCTCTCTCTTTGTTCTATATCGCTCTCCTTCATCTCAAGACTGCACTCTTCTTGATGTTATTTCAGATTCTATTGACCAAGCCCTCATTCTTTATCCATCAGCCAATATTTTTGTTGTCGGTGACTTAAATGTTCATCACACTGAATGGTTGGCTCTAGTGTCAGTGACTCCGCAGGCATTAAGGCCCACAACTTTTGCCTTTCTCAATCCCTAACTCAAATAGTCAACTTTCCAACTCGCTTTCCAGACAAACCGAATCATTTACCTTCTCTACTCGACTTATGTCTTGTTTCTGATCCTAGTCAGTGTTCAGTTTCTTCACACTCACCTTTAGGTGCGTCTGATCATGGTTTGGTCTTTCTAAAACTATTATCTTATTCTTCTTTACCATTAGAATCCCCCTATCATCGTACATCTTACAACTACCTTAAAGCTGACTGGGACTCTTTTCGTGACTTTCTTCGTGATGGCCCCTGGGTAGAAATCTTTCGTCTCCCTGTTGACAAATGTGCTTCTTACATAACTTCGTGGATTCAGGCTGGCATGGAATCCTTTATTCCCTCTCGACGATTCCAGGTCAAGCCTCACTCTTCTCCGTGGTTTTCCTCACATTGTGCTGCTGCAATTGCTAATCGAAACCATTACTTTCATATCTATCAGCAAAACAATTCTCCAGAAAACAGATGTCTCTTTATTACTGCTAGGAACCATTGTAAAAAGGTTTTGTCTAATGCCAAAACCCGCTATTCTCAGATCATGAAATCTCGTATTTCATCACAAAAATTAGGCTCTCGTGACTTCTGGAGAATCTTTAATAGTATCAATAATAAGGGCAAGTCTGTAATTCCACCTCTTTTGTACGGTTCAGACTTTATCACCTCACCTAAGACAAAGCTGAATTGTTTGCCAAGAACTTTTCATCAATATCATCTCTTGATGCCACTAGTTGCGTTTTACCTGATATACCCGTCAAACAGGTTGATCCATTGCTCGACATTCGTATCACTCCAGCTTCTGTATCTAAAGTGATTTCCCGCTTAGACTTTTCTACAGCTTGCGGCCCGGACAACATACCTGTTATAGTCTTGCAGAAGTGTTCTCTTGAGCTGTCGTCTATCTTTTCAAAACTATTCAACAAGTGCTTATCAGAGTCTTGTTTTCCAGCCTGCTGGAAAGCAGCATCTGTTATCCCTATTTTTAAAAATTCTGGAGAGCGATCTGACTTATCTAACTACCGTCCCATTAG